AGTCTATGGCCAACTGCTGAAAAAGAAGAGGTAAACCTTCCACTTGGTTCTTCTGAGAGCTGAAATTGGCCACAGAAAGAAACACAGAGTTCTCACTCCAAGAGATCAAAGAAGGCATTTTGTACCAGGAAACTGAATTCAAATTCTCATTTCCAGGAATAAAGCCACAGTGCCCAATACTTGCTTGGGAAAATAAAACAAGAGACTATGTGGACTCCAATTAAAATCTCCGATGGCTTTATTTCCCAGCCTCGCCAGTTTAATGCTGTTAACATCTTACCCAGGCTTTGCTTGAACTCAAATACCAGCTTCCCATTCGGAATGGCCACACTTATCACTGGGTAAAAATGAAAGCGTTGTAACACTTCATGGAAGCATTTTTTGTCCCATCCTGAGCACTAGATGTATGGGACAAGGTAAGGCTGACAAGTGCCAGCTTCAGCTAAGCCCAAGTCTCCCATAACCATAGTCAGGACAAGGCATGCTATAGCCCATGCTATTATTTTTGCCACAATATTGAAATGCAAGTGGAAGAAGAATAGATAAGAGGCGACATACCTCAATCTCATTCAGGTATGACAAAAATCTTCTTGCTTTGAAATTATCACCTGGGGTCTTACCAATCAGCCAACAGCTTTTGCGTGCCTACTTCATTTGTATGGGCACCCAGCTAAGTCTATAGTCAGAAATGTGCACAGGGCGCCTGGGTGGCTCAGTCAGTTAAGCATCCGACTTCAGCTCAGGTCATGATCTCACGGTTCGTGGGTTCAAGCTCTGTGTCGGGCTCTATGCTGACAGCTAGCTCAGAGCCTGGAGCCTGTTTCAGATTCTGTGTTTCCCTCTCTCTCTGACCCTCCCCTGCTCATGCTGTCTCTCTCTCAGAAATAAATAGAACATTAAAAAATTGTTTTTAAAAGAACAGTGCAGTGAAACATTCCCCAAGTAATCATTATGTTAACAGTCATGTGTTTAATTTTCTTTTATCTTTTTACAAAAAAAAAAAAATGTATCAATATGTAGGTTATAAGGTCTAAAAATAAAATCAGCACCTTTGAACCCACCACTCAACCCAAAACCCAGAATGTCACCCATGCTGTATCATCTACCTACCCCCTCCACCCTGATCCCCAGGTACCTGCAACACACACACACCCACACACCCACACCAGGTAATCACTGTCCTGTATCTGGGGTTTTAATATAAATATAGTATAAATGCATCTTTATGATTATCTACTATTACTAAAAAGTGAGTTGGCTTTCCAAATATGGCAGTGATATATTGCTTCCTCTTAAAAGATGACATCTTAGGTTTTTTTAAGGTCAATCATTGCTTTAAAGAAAAATACTAAATAACTGATAGACTGAAATTTAGCCATGGTAAACTCATGAAGACCATGTATAAGTCAGTGAAATTTGGCAAACGCTGGCAAAAGCGCCCAAGAACATGGGTTCCAGAATGTCACAAACTCTTGGTTCAAATCCCCACTCCACTACTGACCAGCTCTGCAAGGAGGGCAACTCACTCACTCTGGGGAAGCTTCAATGTCTTACCATAAATAGTGAAAGAATAATAACAACATATGGTTGTTGTAAAAATGTAATGAAAAATGCATGTAAAGAGCTGAGCTCGGTGCCCAGCACATGTCCAGGGCTCACCATCAGATCTGTCATTAAATTCATTCAAGACCCATCAGTGGGTATTGCTACCAGTAATAGCTTCCGTCTCTCCAATTTCTACCAAGTTGTGCATTAGATCTCTTCACATAAAAATAAATCAAGATGCAGGGAACCAAGAAAAGAACACGAACAGAAGACAGTTCCAGTCCCCACTTCACTTTGTCGACACAGTACTTTTTACACACTTACACACACAGACACACACACATACACACACATTGATTCCATCTCCACCTCATGACCTTGAATAACAGGATCATTTTTCAAATGCATTTCTGTTCTGTCCCTTCCTCCCCCAGAAGGCTGGACTTCTTGATCTAACCTTACCTAGAAGTCTACCATGATCATCACAGTATGAGTTCAGTGAAATCTAGAATAAGATAGAGGCATCGTCTCTATCTACTGATTCAATCACTATTAGCTGTTCTGTAGACAGATGCAGAAGATTTAGTAAATTACTACTTTGAAAAAAAATCATTACAATGCTATTAATGGCATTAAGTTCCCCACTTCTGAAATTAATGACATTCCTGAATAAGGCATGCTCCTCCATTGCTACTTGGCATCCTTAATATTCTCTTAAATTACTTAGAGATAACAAGAAACTTACTCAGATTCAAATGATCACTCTCTTCCAAGGTACAAAAGTTGTAAAACGACTACCTAAATCAAGTTGTGTTCAAAACCACTCTCACAATTTCAAGTAAAATTCGCCCAAACCACCAGAAAATGAGGACGAACCCCATCTGTACCCATTCTAGCCCTTGACTTTTGCCATCCCTCCAGAATCTATTAAAACATCATTCACCACCTTTGAGTGTTTTCATGAGAAGGGACAGCAGTAATGCTATTATCCACCACACAATTCCATCAATGTAAGGCCAACACATTTCAGCTTCAAAAGACTTCTGTTTTCTTTTTGGTTTTAGTTCCAGGCCAGAAAACAAAACAAAACAAACAAACAAACAAAAAAAAAAAACTGAATCACCTAAATAAATAAATAAATAGCAGGGGAGATTGGGTCTTGGTAGCCAGATGGTCCCAGTCCTGTCCAGGCCTTAAGATAACTTCCTGACCATGTCCCCATCAGTGAAATAGGTGAGGCCCATATTTCATACTCAGGCATACTGTAAAGCTGGATGGCCAGACCAGTGCCTGAGGTCAGCACAAGTCTAGTGTCTGCTGGCTGCCCAAGTCCGGGCCCCTGGCCAGCCACCCAGCTCCAGAGACAAGTGCCAAGACATACTATAGTGTTTCCATTTAAGGCCTGCCACTTGGATCAGCCCATCTCTGAAATTTCTTAACACCACCTTTCCAGGAAGAATTTTTTTGGGGGAAAAGGGAGGTGGTGTCTATTTTTTGCCACCGCCTTCCCTTGGGCTGTCAGAGCAGTCTGCATCTCTGGGACAGGATTCTTTAAAACCACTGGGTTATATGTAAGTCTCAATTAGAGGGCCTCTTTTCAAAAATATACAAACTATGTATGAGATCAGTCCTTCTTCTCATCACTTAACTCCCATCTCACTCACACACACCTCAAAAAAGAAAAGAAAGCCCAATAAAATGAACAAATCCATTGATCACTACCTCGCTTTAAAATCCAAATGAAGCACAACTTTTTAACCAAGACTTTTCTTCTGCTACTCAGGGGAATGTTTTCTTCTTTAAGTAGTTTCCTCTACTAGCTTTTCTCCCATGCAAGGAGCGTTCAAAACTCCAGGGAAATGAGGGGAGGAAGGGAGGCATGTCTGGCGCAAACTGGACAGACCCAAGCCAGCCTAGAACCCGAAGGAAGTTAGTGAATCCGGCGGCCCCGGAGGCCCACATCTCTCCCCAGCGTGCCCAAGGTTCTAGCCTCACTGTTTTGGTTACAGTGTTGAAGGAAGGGTTTTAAACTTGGCAAAGTACCGTGCAACATCTGTAACCACATTTGCCTTCTGGGGATCGGGAGATGAATCCCACATTCCTGGCTTTGAAGCTTTTTGAAACTGCAGCTAGGAAGCACGGAGGGCGGGAGGGAGTTGAGCAGAGTTTATTGGCTGTCTCTCCAGAAGAAAATTCCTCTTGGAAGAGACGGATATTTTGAGGGTGGGGGTGATTAGCCCATCCCTTCACTCCGTACCATGCTCAGCTGGGAAGGTGAGCCCGTGGCCAGGCGGCCAGATCGATTTACAAGTCAGCGGCGCACACCCTGAAGGAGTTCACTACACGCACGCACACACACACACACACACACACACACACTGCACACCAGAGACCCCCCACTCCATGCCTCCGTCCTCTCCCACATCCCACCAGCAGTTCAGGCCCAATGCAAGACAGTTTTGTTCCGCGGCTGCTTCCCCCACCAGAGTGGATGAAGCTTGGGGGAGAAAGGAATGAAAGCGAGGGGGAGGCACCGCAGACACCCACCCTCCCACCCCCAATCCCAGCCTCTTCCCCAGCCAGGCTCCCTGCTCCCACGGTCCTCCCGGGTCCCGCGGCGCGGCCGGCGACCTGCCCTCACCTCTGGTCCCGCCGCGGCCGGGGCTGAGCCGCGGGAGGCGGAGTGCGAGCCAGCCGGGCGCTGCAGGTCGGCGCGGAGCGGCGCGGCGCGGCGCGGGGCGGGGCGGGGCGGTGCAGCCGGCGAGAGAGCCCGGAACTCTGCGGGGCCGAGGGCCGGCGGCCGGCCCCGAGCGGCGGCCGCGGCGGTGCAGCCCGGCGGTGCGTGCGGCCACGGGCTCTCCAGCCCCCGGGCCGGCGCGGCTGGCCGAGGAGCAGCCTGGCAGCGGCGGCGGCGGCAGCGGCAGCCACCCGGGGGAAAGAGCCGGGGGAGGGAGGGGAGGCGGGGTGAAGAGGAGGAGGAGGAGGAGGAAGGGGAGGAGGGCGGACGGAATAAACTTCCCGAGGCGCTGAGGCACGGGCTTGGAGGGCGGCCGCGGGCGGGGCGGGCGGCTCGGGGGGGTGGGTGGGGGAGGTTCGCCTGAGGGGCGGCGGGGGAGACGGTCACTGAGAGTAGAAAAGTTCCCCCGGCGCGGAGGGGGAGGCTGCGGCGGCGGCGGCGGCTGCAAAGAGCAGGAGCCGGAGCGGGAGGAGCGGGAGGAGGAGGAGAAGGAAGTGGCTGCGGAGCGCTCGGCCAATGAGTGTCTGGAGCTGTGATTAACCAGGCAGCAACACATCATTTCCTCCCGGCGCGGATCCAGGGAGCCGGGAGGGAGAGGGAAGGCGGCGGGGCGGGGCCGTCCCCGCGCCCCCTGCAGGCGCCCGGCCGGGGGCGAGCCCGCCGAGCCCCGCCGAGCCTGGCCTGGCCGCCCCCGGCGCGCCCGGCGCGGTCTGGCGGGCCCGGAGGAGGCTGCGAGCGCGCCGCCCGCGGGGCTTCTCAGAGGCGGGGCGGCGGCTGGGCAGGCCCGAGCCGGGCTCCCGCGGCCGGGGTGGGAGGAGGAGAGGCCGCGCGGCGCGGGGTGAGTGCCCAGGTAGGCGCGGGCGGGGCCGTCTGGACAGCTCCCGGGGGCGCGCGGGGCGGGAGGGCTGCCTCCCCGGGCCCGCGACTGCGGGCGGCGCGCGGCTAGCGTCCTGCAGGTCAGAGAGAAGCCTCCGTGTTCTCATCCAGGCCATTTCTGACCTGCCTTCAAATCCCCTTCCACTTTGCTCATTTCCTTGCAAGGTCTGGGGTTATGCAAGAGCTTACCATTTTCGCAGTCGGCCTCCTTAGCAATAAAAATAAGCGGGGTGGGTGGGGGGGGAGAAGGAGGAGGGAGCGTGCGGGGGAGGGGGCTTCTGCAGTAATCTAGCCCTGTCCTAGGCGCCAGGGAAGCTTACTGTGTGAAGGAAGGAACATTCCCCGCCGCAGAGAGGCTGACAACCTCGGTCCTTAGATACACAAAAACACTCTAGCGTTCTAATATTATCCAGAGCATCAAAAAGGTATGCGAGGATCAAATTTTGCATGGTGCCTGCTGACTGTAAGGAAAGCACCAAGCCATTTCCTCTGCCCTCTAGAAGATTATAATGTACAGTCCTATCACAAAGCAAAATAAAAGCATGAAACCAATAAATGGGGATACCATAAAGTATTTTTATCTCTACAGGTTCATTCATGCAGCAGGCATTTATTGGGTGACTGCAGTACTGCAAAAGGTTGCAAAGGAAATGGAAGATCTGGTCCCTGCAGGTCAGTTTACAATCCAATTAGGAACCTAAGGCATCTATACATGAAACGTCTAGGAAAAAATTCCCAGGTATTATATAAGCAAAAAGATGTAGAAGGCAGAGGGCATTTTTTCATAAGGGGAAAGACAATACCTGTATGCTTGGTGAGAATCAGGAGAGGAAATTCCAGGCCAAACAAGCAGAAGTGCCTGTATGTATCCTTACTTTGTAGAACAATAGAACAGGGAGCTCAGTGTCAAGTCCTGCCATTTATAAACTGTGTGACCTTGGGCATGTTTTTAACCTCTATGAAGGGAAGAAAGCCTGTCTCCAGGTTTGTTGTGTGATTCAAATGAAATTACACTTACACAAAAGCTTCTCAAGTTGCTGTATGAATGTTCCTCAATGGGGTACATCAATGGAGTTCTCATTCTACGGGCCTCTTCTTGGTGGCCTTTCTAGTCTCCGGTAGGCAGTAAACTCCAGGAGGGCAGGGACCAGGTTTGGCTGTGTTCACTGTGTATCATCATCATGCCTAGCAGAGCAGCACATGTGGGTTCCCAGCAAAGGTTTGCTGAATGAGTGAATAAATTAACCAATGAATCCTGTGTTGCTTTTAACTGTTTATCTTATGTGTTCCTTCAGTAGTGATCTTGCGTGACTGGCTCAGTGCAAAACCCTCTAGCTCAACCTTCCTGTGACTAACTTGTATTCCAGGAGACTATCTGGAAGGATTCAAGGTAGTTTTTGTGGCCTTATAACAATAAACTGATGACTGCACGTGTGTGTACGTGTGCATGTGTGTGTATAAAGCAGGAGGATAGATACACAAGGATACAGCTCATCACACAAGCCCTATCCATACAAGGATACAGCCCAGATACGGTTCTTTGGCTTAGATACCTTAATCCAGAGTTGCTCAACTTTGGTACTATTGACATCTTTGGCTGGATAATTGGTGTGGATTGTGTCCTGTGCATTGTAAAATGTTTTGCAGCCTCCTTGACCTGGGTCCATTAGGTGCGAAAAGGATGCTTTCTCTCCACAGTTTTGACATATTTTTTTACTTTTTCTTTTTTTGTTAATGTTTATTTTTGAAAGAGAGAGAGAAAGAGCATGATCGGGGACAGGCAGAGAGAGAGGGAGACCCAGAATCCAAAGCAAGCTCCAGGGTCAGAGCTGTCAGCACAGAGCCCAATGCGGGGCTTGAACCCATGAACCATGATATCACAACCTAAGCCGAAGTGGAAAACTTAACCGACTGAGCCACCCAGGTGCCCCCTCCCCCAGTGGTGACATTTAAAAATGCCTCCAGACATTGCTAATGTCCCTTGGAAGCAAAATTCCCCCGATTGAGGACTAATGCCTTACCCCAACATCTAATCCATTGATTTAACTCTGGTGGAGGAATCACACAAGTGAAGTAACTTGAAAGAAATACATCTTCTGTTATTCCAAGATTCTTAGATCTCTTCCATCATATGTTTCAAGGAGCACGACTCTTGTTAATTAATTGCCTGCTGCATTGTGAGTTGGCATCTCTTCTGTTTTCTGCATATCCTCCTCCTTTACACCCAGATCAACATGTTCATTTCTAAAAGTCAACAGCTTTCACAAACTATTAGGAAACAGTCTTGAGCAACCTAGGAGTCCTGCATAATATTTTCCTATAAAATTTGGAGAATTCCTTCCATACAGTTTTTCAGAAAGCGTCCCTGTTATAATTAAGCTCTTAGACTCACCACAGCCTCTCTGCACTCAGATTGTAAGTAATACAGAATATGAACTGTAATTTTTAGAATTTTTTCATATAAAATATTTAAGTAACTACTTTGAGTGATTTTCTTTCATCCTGAAGTCATTTCCCTTTGGTTGCAGGAAGAGTTCTCCTTTCATGATGGTGTAGAGAACATGGTATATTAAAACCTATAAAGCAGACATCAGCTTAGTTATACATATGAGCTTCCAGAAGCAAGTTCTTTAGAAAAATATTTGGACGCTTTAGAGCTGGTGCTGTTGAAAATCCTGATGGGTTGGTGAGCCACCGCTCTATTGCTAACGATTTCTTGAAAAAAAAAAAAAAAGATAATGGTTGAAGGAATGAACTAATTCTGATAAGTCTGTTCACTCAGTACAGACATGTAGAACCAACAACAAAAAAACCCTGTTCCTTGCACATAACAGTACTGTGTTTACATGGTGAGCAGACATTTTTGTTCAGCAAGATAGTATCATCTGTCTCATTAAATAAAGTTATTTGAAACATTGGTTTTATAGCTTTGTTTGTATTTCATTTTGGTTTTACAGTTCTGTAATGGTGACAAGCATATGGAGATTAGTTTATATCCAGTTTAGTGATTATTCGCACTTAAGTTGAGCATCGAAGACAAGGTAGGCATCCAAACTGCTTAAAAAAAGAACACACTCTGAGGGTTAGATGTGGCTCATGGGAAAGCAATTTCTGTTTTGTTAGACTGGAAGTGGGACACCTACTCTAGAGATTTCCAAGTTTTCTATAAAATCCATGAAGTTTGTGGTTTTGCTTCAGTTAACGACATTTTTAAAAGAAATTGATATCGTGTTAAATTAATATGCATATTCTGTGTCATATGAACATCATGTAGCCTTGATCCCCCTACCCATTTTTTTGCTATGTACCTACAAGAATATGCAGTTGATTTAAATGATATTTTAATAAGTATAATTTAAGGCATCACTGAAGGTCTGTGGGGATTGTTTTCTTTTTAAAGGTGTCTATACATGACTCAAGAGAAATACTGACCCAGCTGCATCGTAACTATTCTTGGAAAATGCGGAATTTATTGAATGACAAGAATATGGAATTTATTCCTAATCCTGAGGCCCATGAGAAACCATGATTTCTTTCCAAAGATGGAAGTAACTGCATCAGAACAGTAGGGGATAGAAGAGAAAATCATAACTTGTTAGGGTCACTAAAAAATCCTATCAGTCTTGGGGCGCCTGGGTGGCTTAGTTGGTTAAGCATCTGACTTTCGCTTAGGTCATGATCTCGCGGTTCGTGGGTTCGAGCCCCGCGTCGGGCTCTGTGCTGACTGCCAGCTCAGAGCCTGGAGCCTGTTTCAGTCTGTGACTCCCTGTCTCTCTGACCCTCCCCTGCTCACGCTGTCTCTCTCTCTCTCTCCTAGAAATAAATAAAAAACATTAAAAAAAAGTAAAAATAAAATAAAAATCCTATCAGTCCTGGCACCCTTTCCCCAAAAGGTAAACATTTAACCAGTTAAGACAGACATTTGTTTATCTTCCAGTTAAACTTTCCCAGGTATATGAATGACTCACTAATTGTTCATTTCATACAAGACCTTTTTGGCCACCTACCATATTCAGGGAACTGTGTTTGCTGCTCAGGGAGTCCTCAAACTGCCTATAGCTACTTCCCACTGGGAAAGCTAATCCAGACACTCCAGGCTCAGCGGGTTACAGGCAAACTAGGGTATACACCTATGGGCCACCCATGTGATAAAAGAGGCAGTATAAAACCATTGCAGAAAGGAAAGATTATTCATTCAACAGTGTTAAGGCACTTGGAAAATATCCAGTTAGTGCTGCTTCTCACACCATTCCTGAAAATATTTCCAGAAGGAATAAGAAACTTTTTTTTTAATTGTAAGTTAACTCAAAGCAAATATAGGTAGATGCGCATCTTTGGATGGAAAAAGGACTTTGTAAGTAAAAGCTATAAATAAGATTGGATGACTTGACTCTGTAAAAATGTTCCCCTAAATTTTTTATTAGGAAACAAACAAAAGGAGGAAGAGCCTAGTGAAGCTACCTGTAACCTATACTCAAAGGGTTAAAATCTTACTATATTAAGAAAGGAACTTTTGTGAGTCATCAAAATGCACCCTTTAATAGAAAGTTGGTCAGAAGTTATGAGTAGACAAAAACAAAATTATTACGTATGAATATTACGGGGAAAGTTTAAAAATTCAAGGAAAGATAATATAAACAAAACCGAGATAAAATATTCCAGATAATTTTTCAGCAAATGAACATATTCCCTGTTGGTAAGGCTGACTTTATAAAGGATGCTCTTGTTACGGAGAACATAAATTGGAAAACAATTTCTTGCAGATAATTAGGTGATACGTATCAATCCCCTCAAACATATTTCTACCCTTTGACACTTTAATCCCATTTCAGGAATTTATGCTATGAAAATAATCATCAATCATTCAAAGATTTGTATAAAATGATTATCGTCTACTATTTTTGGAAATGCCAACAATAAAGCACAAGTTGAAAAAAAAATGGATGATAAAGGTAATACTTTAATTCCATAACCCTTTTAAATACATGAATCTCTCATGTTCACATATCCACAAAAGTGAAAAACTAGAGGAAAATATTCCATGATGTCCCGTAACTATCATGGATATGGTTGACTTTTATGTTCTTCTTTACACAGGTCTGTGGAATCCAACTTCTCTGTAATGTATTACTTTTATAAGCAGAAATATAAAAAAATTATAAAAGTAGAAATGCAGGGTGCCTGATTGTCAACCAATAGAGCCTGAGACTCTTGGTAGTTCAAGCCTCATTTGGGCCTAGAGCTTACTGAAAAATTAATTCATTAATTAATTAAAATAAAGGTAGAAATGCACATATTTTAAGAGTCTGGCAATCATGGGACAAAACCTAACTGGTGAAAATTACATATGAATTTATACTTGTGAAGTGGGAGGTAGGGTGTAGAGAATGGAACTCAAACTTGGCATTTTCTGTGCTCTGCAGGTAGGTGCATTTCTTTCAAAAAATCATTTCCCAGGGGGCACAGCCTTATCTCATCCTCTGCCTGCATCCCAGTCTGTGACCCATTTCCTGGCAACCTTGAGGGCTAGATGCTCATCAGGACTGTCCATGGCCTTGCTCACGTTCTGAAGCTGCTTGAGTGTCTAATTTACTTAACTTCGCTTAATTTAGCTACATTGCGGAGATGTGGATTTTAAAAGCTAGTCCTGTGGATGAATGCCCTCAGGACTATCAAATTAATTTCTTCCTCAAATTAAACAAATATATTTCAAATATAATTGTGTGGTTCTTGGTAGAATCCAACATCACAGAGGCTTTTCATTTTTAGGGAATATTCTTTTGCCTGATTGGTCCCTCTGAGCATTGGCATCATGAAGACATTTTCATGGATAAGAAATCAAATTAATTTTCCAAGTCATAGTGTAGCCCCCCTCTACCAATATCTAAAATCTAAAGGCTTCCTTTTTATTAACCTACTTTTGTTTAATGAAACTCCAGAGATCAGCTGCTAAGGTTAATTACATATAGCAGAGAACTAGTTGTGTGACCTTAGGCAGGTAACTTCAGATTGTAGAGTCTCGCTTCTCCTCAGGTGTAAAGTAAGGGATGGGTTGCATTTTGGAGGTCTCTCCGTTTTGAAATTCCCACAACTTGAATTGGAATTCCTAAAGAAGCTTATTATCTGAAGTTGCTGGTGCTGCATTTGACTTTCTGGGGACGAAGAGCTCAAGACTTCCAAGAACTGACAGAAAGCTAGGGTGATGGGACTAAAAGAACCATGTGGACAAATGGCCTTAGAGAGGACTCAAGCGGCCTGGCCCAGTCAGGCAGGTGTCAGAAAAAATGTGCGAGGGAAGGAACTAGAAGGGGTTAAGCAAGGGAGTGAGTGACAAGTTTGCATAACATCATTTATCATTACAACCAAGATATGTATATTCTTTCATTAACAAGATTTCCCCCTGATGATTATTTTGTTTAAAAATGTTACAAAATATGAGGCGCCTGGGTGGCTTAGTCGGTTAAGTGTCCAACTGTCGCTTAGGTCATGATCTCGCGGTTCTTGGGTTCGAGCCCCGCGTCGGGCTCTGTGCTGACTGCCAGCTCAGAGTCTGGAGCCTTTTTCAGATTCTGTTTCTCCCTCTCTCTCTGACCCTCCCCTGCTCACGCTGTCTCTCTCTCTCTCTCTCTCTCCTAGAAATAAATAAAAATATTTTTTAAAAAATAAAATAAAAATAAAAATGTTACAAAATATGCACGTGTGCAGACATATCGTATAGTGAAAAGTAAATTCCAGAACGACTAGCTTCCCAGCTACCCACTTCCCTCCCCTACTGCCACTTCTCTATATCCTTGCAGAAAGGCGGTAGGCATATGAAACTATAAGCATATTCCCTTTTGCTTTAACAGGGATAGTAGCATGCTACCTGTTCTTCTATCCTTTGCTCCTTTGTTTATCAACACAACAGCATATCTTGATAAATAGTCTTTGCTATTACAACAGTTATTACACCAAGTTTCTGTTATTGTGCCCCCTCTCAGGGAAGCAGAGACTCATAGAATCTAAAATTGGAGGGCACCAAAATCTCATCTAGTCCCAGTTCTGTCTCTTACATATAAAAAAGCTTGACAGTGAGAGGCACCTGGCTGGTTCAGTTGGTAGAGCATGCACCTCTTCGTTCTTAATCTTGGGATCATGAGTTCAAGCCCCATGTCGGGCATAGAACTTATATTTTTAAAAGGGGTGGGCGTCTGGGTGGCTCAGTTGGTTAAGCGTCAGACCCTTAGTTTCAGCTCAGGTCATCTTATGGTTCATGAGCTCAAGCCCCCCAAGGGGCTTCCACGCTGACAGTGCAGGGGCTGCTTGGGATTCTCTCTCTCTCCTTCTCTCTCTGTTCTTCCCTATTCGTGCTGTCTCTCAAAATAAATTTTAAAAGCTTTTTTCCTGAAAAATCCTGTAAATCCTGTGACTCCTCAAATTCTCACAGCTCCTTGAAGCAAGGCTGGAGCTAGAACTTGGTTGTCCTAATCGCCCTTTGGTTTGATTGTACTTTCAGCTTGTCAGGTTAGACATTTTATAATTAAAAATATTTTTCAAATGGTATGCATGGTATGATCTGATTTTCTTTCTTTAACCAAGTATGTATAATGCACAGAAAGGAGACTATAAGGCAATGTACCAAGATGCTTCCAGTAGCCATCTTGGGATGGTAGCAGTAGAAGAGATCTTTCACTTTTTTGTTTCATTGAGATACAATTCACATCCCATTCAATTCACTCATTTAAAGTGTACAATTCATGGTTTTTAGTATATTCACAGAGCTGTGCAAAATCACTGTAATCAATCTTAAAACATTTTTATTACCCTCCAAAAGAAACCCTATACCCATCACCATATTTATACTTTTTATTCTTATGTTGCATTTCCAAAACATTTTGCAGTGATTGTTATTTTTGTAATACAAATAAATAAACCCATTAGAAAAAAATAAAGTAATACCATAGCCACTATAAAAACCCACAGAGAAAATTCAGAAGTGTTACAAAGAAGGTAAAATCACATAATTTTACTATTTCCAAGATAAATAGATATAATATTTTGGATAATTTTCTCTTGATCTTTTCTGTGCATATGCATGTATTATACATGAATACGCATCATTTTCTCTTACTCTTCTTAGTTATGAGCATTTTCCTAGGTCATTAGATATTCTCTGAGAGTATGATTTTTTGACTGATTTAAACCCCTGAAGGCATCACAACTTTTGACAGCATCGCATTGTTTTCTTAGGATCGTTTCCTAAAAGTAAGAATCTAGGTCATATTTCCAATTGCTAGGTGGTTTGAACTGTTTCCAGTGACTTGCCCCACTTACCGCACCCCTTACCGTCTCTGTTACGACCCTTTCTATTACTTGCCAATTTGGAAATTTTTAAAAATTCTCTTTTAATTTGCAATTACTTGATTGCTAAAGAGTTAGCAACTTGCTCATAAGTATATCAACTGTATTTTTCCAATTTTCTTTTCAGTTAATACCCTTTACCCATTGTTCCATCGGAGTGTTAGTGTCATTTTTATTGATAAGAATATAAAGAGCTTTCTCTTTTTATTTCCTCCTGAGCACTGAGCAGGTAGAAATTCCAATCTATTAACAATTTTTAAAGATTAACTTGGGTTCCAGTCATTGTTTCCCACATCTTTGCAGTGGGGCTGGCTACAGTGCTTTAGGGGGACTCTGCATTTCTACTAAAGAGTTGCTAGGGGTGAGGTAGGGACCAGTCTGTGAAGTTCTTTATATTGTGATAAAATGGTTGTTTGCCAATTTCATCCTAAAGCTCCCAAAAATATATTTACTACCAATAATATAAAAACTGCATTAATGAGCTTTGATTTTCCCAAGTAGCCATATAGCTTGTGTTCAACCAAATTTATCAGTCCCTATAAAGGATAACATCAACGCTGGATCAAACAGCACCAGGGTGTATAAGATGCACCCATGTCTCACTTCACTTTTCTATCCAACAGGCATGAGCGTTTACACCAATGAACAGTCTGAAGGTTAAGTCTGACTCAGGTCCTCTTGATGCTCCACCAAGTGCTCCACAGAGCAGTAAAGGTTGTCAGACCCTCCGGTTTGTAACAGAGATCCTATCTGGAAGAAAGGAAGTTAACTGTCTCACTCTTTAAACAGTTAAAGAGGGGCACTTGGGTGGCTCAGTCGGTTAAGTGCCCCACTCTTGATTTCAACTAATTTCAACTCAGGCTATACTCTCATGGTTATGAGGTCAAGCCCGGCATGGGGCTTTGCCCTAACATTGCAGAGCCTGCTTGGGATCTTTACTCTCCCTCTTTCTCTCTGCCCCTCTCTCTCCCCCATGTTCTCTTGCTCTCACTCTCTCTCAAGAGTAAATAAATAAATTTAAAAATAAATAAAAATAATAAACAGCTAAAGATGTTCTACTGATTACATCTAAGAAACTGGAGTTGCAAAATGTGAAATATATAAACATCTGAATCTCTTGACAATGGAAAGGACCTTGGAAAACAAAAGAAATACACAAACACCAAGGAAAAAGTGTTGATGACAGTGATTATTCCTGGATAGAAAATGGCCATAGAATGTGTTTGATTAAAAAAAAAAAAAAGGAGGAAAAAGGCCATTTCTTGATCTGGGTGTATATACGGCAACCTCATGTAGAGCCGAGATGAGCTTTTGATTTAAATGGGCTTATTCTACTACTGCTAAAGGTCAGGGTTTCTTGTTGACAAATTGAGTGTAGACTTGGTGACAAATTCGTTCTTTTCATCATAAGTTCTTCCACTGTGAATTGTCTACTTCTTGGTTTTGTGTATTGGGCATTGGTAAAATTTAATAACCAGAACATAGTCTTAATTTGATATTACTTGATTTTGAAAGTCAAAACAAAAATGTCTTTATGTTTTTTTTTTTTAATGTTTATTTATTTTTGAGAGAGAGAGAGAGCACAAGCAAGAGAGAGGCAAAAAGAGAGGGACACACAGAATCCAAAGCAGGCTCCGGGCTCCACGCTGTCAACACAGAGCCTGATGCAGCCTGAACTCACTAACCATGAGATGATGGCCTGAGCTGAAGTCAGACACTCAACCAACTGAGCCACCCAGGTGCCCCTGAAAATGGCTTTATATTTTGACAGCCATCACTATTCAGTCTTTGAAATAGAATGATGGGGTTTTCTATTTTGAAGAAAATTTAGAAATGATTTAATACAGCTTCCATGTTTCTTTTTCCTCATTTTTTTTAAGATTTCACGATATGGGGGGTTTTTAATGAAAATTTTCAAACATAATCAGAAAGAGAAAAAATAGAATAATAAACACCATATATCTAGCACCTGGGTGAGCAATGATCAAGATTAGCCTACCCATGTTGCCCCACATGCTAGCTCTTGGAAATTACTTAAAAGTAAACTTCAGGGAGCGCCTGGGTGGCTCAGTCGGTTAAGCGTCCATCTTCAGCACAGGTCATGATCTCATCGTTCATGGGTTTGAGCCCCGTGTCTGGCTCTGTGCTGACAGCTAGTTAAGAGCCTGCAGCCTGTTTCAGATTCTGTGTCTCCCTCTCTCTCTGACCCTCCCCTGTTCATGCCGTCTCTCTGTCTCTCAGAGATTTAAAAAAAAAAAAAAAAACATAAAAAAATAGTAAACTTCAGCCACCATTCCATTCCTATGTATTTCAGCAAGCGTGTCTAAAACATATGGACATTTTCTGACCCAGCCATAATGCCATCATCAAACCT